CATAACTCACCAGGCTGTGCACCAGCGGGTTGGGACTCAGATCTATTTCGGCAATCATCTGGTTCACCTGCTGTATGGAGCCAATAAGGCACGCTGGGGGGTAAGTCCGTTAAGGAAACTCTGGGTAATGATTACACACAAACAGAACAGGGTGGGGCTAGCCTGGCAAGGCGGCGGCCCACTCCCTTTTTGTGCTGTGTCTCCACTTAATTATTTTTGTTGTTGTTGTTGTTTTATTTTTCCATTTATTTTCCTTGCAAACATTCACACTTCTTTTATCTTGTTTCAAATGAGTTCCTTTATAAATGATAAGCAAAAATTAACCATATCCTAAATACCTTGGAAAACATAAAAATCATCCATTATGCTATCACCCTAACAACTTCTGTTAGGATTTGGGGAGATTTTCTTTTAGTATTATTACATATATCCTTTTTTACATAATTACCACCTCAGTGTATGCCTCTTTTACTACTCTGACTTCTCTCCCACTCATTATTATGATCATTTTCCAAAAGGCTAAATAATCTTCATAATATTTTAAATGGCAGTATACAAATCCACTTAGACAATGTATCTTAACAGACTTAACTGTTCCTTGGCTATTGAATATTTAAGTTGTATATAATTTTTTTGCAATTATAATGCTGTGATGTACAGAGTCGCACAAAGAGCTGTGTCCATATTTTGGATTCTTCCTTTAAGACAGACTTTTCAGGTGACAGATAGCTGGATCCAAGGGTATCTAGACCTTGTTTATCACTCCTGAAATCTCTGTTCAGTTCAGTGGCCCCTCTTGTTACCCTCTTTACTTTTGCATTTCTTTCTGTCTTAGCTTCAATTGGTCTAGGATATATCCTTTGTAAAAGTCCAATAATCCTACCACTCCTCACTGCCTTCACGTAAAGCAAGGTTCACTCTTACTTCCATTACCCTCAAGTGTTTCTACAAATCGGGGGATACTTGACAAAAAAAGACGCCAAGGAGGGACATGACAAACCATAGGAAGTGAAATGAGTTAGCCAGGCTGAGAGGCGTGTGGGATTAAGAAGAAAAGGGGGGACGTTAGAAAAGGGCCCAGGAAAGCGAGACCCTGAAGCAGATCATGATTTGTGCTCATCTTGAGAAGGGCCTCTGAGAGGGTGGAAGAGGAGGGAATGCAGAGGGACACATGCACTTTGACTGGCAGGAGCATGACTCAAAGGTAACTGAGCTCTATATAAAATGGAAAGACAGGGTTATTTATAACCTGAGAGTGTCTTTATTTGCTGGATGGGGTCTAAGGTCCTTCAATGATGGGATTCTGTGGGTACCTTGGGATACAGTGTAGGGTCTGAAATGAGGTAAGGATCAATGAAGGCAGAGCCAGAGAAGGAAGATGTTGGTAGAGCCTGGATGATACCAGAAGGGGCAAAGTTTGGGCCCAGGTAGAAGTGCTGGCAGGTCAAAGTTTAAAAAAAAAAAAGGAAAGAAAAAAAAGTTGGTATTTGGCTAACTTGTTTGAGGGCAGAGGGCTGGACATGACTTCTGAGTTGCTATCTGTAAGTATAATTCTTTAGAAGACAGAAGGGAAAGAACAATGGGGGAGAAAAAGAACTTTTTTTCCTCTTCTTCCTCATTCTTTCAACAAATATTTCCAGTACTTCTTCTTTTGGGGCTTTTTTTTTGCTTATCTTAGTAAAATAAACTCAAGTCCAACAATCCTTTGCAGGCTCAAATTCTTTTAGAGGACAGGTAAGACTTAAGTAATTGAAAAAGATTAATGAATATATGAGAGATGAGCTAGTAAGGGGTGCATGTTACAGACTCGAGCCCAGGTTATACCACTGCAGCAGGTGGTTTGGTCTCCACTGTGGATGGCACCATGGAAGGATACACGGTGGACCATCCTGCAGATCCTTTCTCACAGCATCCTTCATTTCATTCTGTGCAATGAGTGAGACAGCCAGGTGCTCATCCACTGGCACCATTGGCAAGGCAGTGAAATTGATGACATCCATCTTCCTGAAATCAGTCATTGTCCAGTTCCTTGTAAACTGACAAATGGTAAGTTTCCACTTTTAAGAGCCTCTCATTCCTCACTATGATCTTGCTCTCTTCCAGCGTCCTGGAAATCACAAATAGCACAGAATCGTCTTAGAAAGCACAACCATGCTCATCTTGTAAGCAAGGCTAATGGCAAGGCATATGCTGCATGTGACACAAGGAATAAAGGCTTTTGTCTGAGAAGCTCATTCTTAACTGAGGACTTCGAGGCATATATACTTTTTGCTTTCTATCTGCTGATCCCTCCCCTCAACCCCTAAATATTCCAGTTTTAAAAATAAGGAGACTAGAGTGCTGAAAAGGCTGGGGTTCCAAACCATGCAGCAAGCCAGTTTCCAAATTAGAAATCCAATCAAATCTCTTGGCTTCTCTGAGCCTCACCAATAAAGTCAGAGATTTGGATTTAGGTCCCTAAGACCCTTTTCAGCTCTCAGATGCTGTGATTCTATGATACTGGGTCCATCTAGTCAGCATGAGGTTCCTGATCTACCTGAGGCTTTCTGCTCCCTCTTAGAAAACTGGCCCCATCACTACTCTTCCTCCTGGATTTGGAATAATCTGGCCAGACTGCTCTCCTGGGTCTTTGCTTATTGGGCAAAAGGAGTTCATCACCACCATCTGTGGATCCTCCGTGTCCAGAGCCTGGTGGTATAAGCCTGGTTATAATGAAGTAAAAGATCAGATCTACCTTCAAGAAGCTTATACATGTGGAAAGAGAGAGAAAAGGTAGAGTTTGGTGGGAAAATTAATCAAGACAGTGCCCTTTCACCAGTCTCCTTTCCTGTTCTTTGGTTCACGCCTTCTGCTCGGCCCTCTTCTCCCTGGCCAGGCATCCTATATACCTGCCCCACTGAACTTCCTCCTGGTCCCTGCCACACTATGCTCTTTGTGCATCTAAGCCCTTGTACATGCTGTTCCCTTGATTCAGTGCTCAGCCTAGGTGACATATCTTTTGGAAAACCTTCTTGATTTACTCCGGTACCACCCCTTCTCTGTGAAGCCCAGGATTTTGCTTTCAACTCTCTATTCCAGCACTTACGATACTGAACTAGAATTATTTGCTTCTACATCTTTCTCCATTAAGCAAAGTACTCCCTAGGAATCAGGCTCACTCAATTTTTGATTCCATTTTTAACTCACTCACCACACTTCTTTCTAGTTCAAAGAGGCTCTCCATTTTGGGCTGTCGCAAGTCAGGTGGATCGTAGGAAAGGCTGGCCCAAGTCCACGTCAGTACTATTTCCTTCCTCCCTCCTGCTCTTAGCTTTTAGCCGCACAAGCAATGGGGAGAGAGTAAAGAGGAGGCAGGTGCGTTTTAGCGCTTCTCACTTTCCTCTCACACATCCCTCAGCATGGCTGGAAAACTACAACACGTTTTCTGAAAAGCCAGGCTTAGGAGGACCCTGCTAAGAAGCCTCTTGCTTTAGGTTAACATTATTACTTATGTCTAATGACAGAATTGAATATTCTGCTTCTTAAGAGAAATGTTTAAAATACTCCATTCCCTTCTGAATTTTTCATCATACCATTTTAGGTTAAGTATTCTCTGAAACATGGTAAGTTTTTAGGTCACTATTTGGGGAGGAAAAAAGGATGAGGGAGAAAACTAACTTCCCTGAATATCTACCCCATGCCCAGCACAGTGCTGTGGACAAGCGGCAGATGAGTGGAAGAGGAAGAAATGTCTTGCCCTCATGGAGCACATATTCTGGCAGCTGAGATTTAAAGTTAACACGTTTTAACTTAAACATGTTAAACAAGTTAAAACAATACTGACCTTGGAGTCAGACAGACTTTTTGTTCAGGTCAACCTTCTGTCATTCAATGACTATTTACAGAGTGCCTCACACAGCCATCAAGTGTCCCTACTGGGGACAGGATGGTGAATTAAACCAGACTTGATCCCTGGCCTAAGGAAGCTTATGTCTAGTAGGGGTGACATGTGATAATCAATTACATACATAATCATGAATTACAATGGATCACTGCTTCAAGGGGAGGGGGACACAGTGCTGTGAGACAATGTAACAGTGGGTACTGACCTAGTCAAAGTGGTAAAGATTTGAAGAACGAGCAGGAATTAATTAGATAAATGGGGAGGAGATATACCATCCAAGCTGAGGGGCACAAGAGTAGAAAGACAGGAAAAGTCTAGACCTGTGCCTCACAGTGGCCACTAGCCACGTGTGACAATTGAGCCCTTGGAATCTGACTGGTGTGACTGAAGAATTAAAATTTAAAAACTGAAGCAGAATAAATTTTAAAATATTGACTGTATGTTGAAATTATCATATCTGGGACATATGAGTCAAGTAAAATATTCAAATTAATATCACCTGATTTTTTTAATTAAAAAAATATGGCTACCAGAAAATTCTAAATTACATTTGGCCCACATTACGTTTCCATTGGACTGTGCTGTGTTAGACCACGTGGTTTGGTTCCAGAACATGGAACTCTCTTCCCTTTCCAATGAAGTTAGGTGCAATTGGAAGAAAACTGCACTTGGAGCCAGAGACCCATGGGTACTGACCCTCGTTGGATGCATGACCTAGTGCACTCACCAGGCACCAAGTAAACATCCCCCAGATAACCCTGAGTTTCTTCATTTATCAAATGGAACCAATAATACACACTGTTAGGATTTTAGGAAATGTGGAGTTGATTTGTCGAGTAGTTCTCTGCCCCTGGCTCACTGTGCGACCGTGAAGAGGCAGAGAGGGGTCACTATTTGTTGGTCTTACCTGAAGACATCTGCAGAATCCGACGAACTCGGGGCCGATTCCGCCTTGGGTCCCTCACGGGGCACTGCAAAGTTCTGGATGGGACACTCGACACCCTTTGCCCCCAACCAGGAAGGCGTGCCGTTTGTTTTGTGGCGCGGGAGGAGGAAGGAGGGGCTTTGGGGAGAGGCTCATTTTGCTGCTGTGAGTCCTTAAGTTCTCCAGGCAACGCCGGGCGCAGCCAACACCCCCACCCTTCCCACAACAATGGAAGCTTCGCAGCCTCCGCGCGTCCGCCGGACGCCGTTACCACGGTGACCGCCCCGGACCGCCTGGGAGACCAGACCAAGGGGTTTGTGGAGGGGGTGAGTGTTGTTCCTTGTCCTAGCCGATAGCATGGAGAGTGAAAATGACTGCAGAAGACACTGCCTTTATGGAGTCTATTAAATATATCGAGGGACACCTTCAAGAGTTTCT